TTTCGCTCGCTACCGGCGTAATTTTACTCCAAAGAAGCTGAAACTCCGCATTCTGAAATTTCATTCGATTATGGTTCGAACGGTGTATGCCACGTCCCTTCACTCCGACATCGCTAATTCACTTTTTTTCTAAACACTTTTCTAGTACAATATCAAAGTTTTTCGCTCGCTACCGGCGTAATTTTACTCCAAAGAAGCTGAAACTCCGCATTCTGAAATTTCATTCGATTATGGTTCGAACGGTGTATGCCACGTCCCTTCACTCCGACATCGCTAATTCACTTTTTTTCTAAACACTTTTCTAGTACAATATCAAAGTTTTCCGCTCGCTACCGGCGTAATTTGACTCCAAAGAAGCTGAAACTCCGCATTCTGAAATTTCATTCGATTATGGTTCGAACGGTGTATGCCACGTCCCTTCACTCCGACATCGCTAATTCACTTTTTTTCTAAACACTTTTCTAGTACAATATCAAAGTTTTTCGCTCGCTACCGGCGTAATTTGACTCCAAAGTAGCTGAAACTCCGCATTCTGAAATTTCATTCGATTATGGTTCGAACGGTGTATGCCACGTCCCTTCACTCCGACATCGCTAATTCACTTTTTTTCTAAACACTTTTCTAGTACAATATCAAAGTTTTCCGCTCGCTACCGGCGTAATTTGACTCCAAAGAAGCTGAAACTCCGCATTCTGAAATTTCATTCGATTATGGTTCGAACGGTGTATGCCACGTCCCTTCACTCCGACATCGCTAATTCACTTTTTTTCTAAACACTTTTCTAGTACAATATCAAAGTTTTTCGCTCGCTACCGGCGTAATTTGACTCCAAAGTAGCTGAAACTCCGCATTCTGAAATTTCATTCGATTATGGTTCGAACGGTGTATGCCACGTCCCTTCACTCCGACATCGCTAATTCACTTTTTTTCTAAACACTTTTCTAGTACAATATCAAAGTTTTTCGCTCGCTACCGGCGTAATTTGACTCCAAAGTAGCTGAAACTCCGCATTCTGAAATTTCATTCGATTATGGTTCGAACGGTGTATGCCACGTCCCTTCACTCCGACATCGCTAATTCACTTTTTTCTAAACACTTTTCTAGTACAATATCAAAGTTTTTCGCTCGCTACCGGCGTAATTTGACTCCAAAGAAGCTGAAACTCCGCATTCTGAAATTTCATTCGATTATGGTTCGAACGGTGTATGCCACGTCCCTTCACTCCGACATCGCTAATTCACTTTTTTTCTAAACACTTTTCTAGTACAATATCAAAGTTTTTCGCTCGCTACCGGCGTAATTTGACTCCAAAGAAGCTGAAACTCCGCATTCTGAAATTTCATTCGATTATGGTTCGAACGGTGTATGCCACGTCCCTTCACTCCGACATCGCTAATTCACTTTTTTTCTAAACACTTTTCTAGTACAATATCAAAGTTTTTCGCTCGCTACCGGCGTAATTTTACTCCAAAGAAGCTGAAACTCCGCATTCTGAAATTTCATTCGATTATGGTTCGAACGGTGTATGCCACGTCCCTTCACTCCGACATCGCTAATTCACTTTTTTTCTAAACACTTTTCTAGTACAATATCAAAGTTTTTCGCTCGCTACCGGCGTAATTTGACTCCAAAGAAGCTGAAACTCCGCATTCTGAAATTTCATTCGATTATGGTTCGAACGGTGTATGCCACGTCCCTTCACTCCGACATCACTAATTCACTTTTTTTCTAAACACTTTTCTAGTACAATATCAAAGTTTTCCGCTCGCTACCGGCGTAATTTGACTCCAAAGAAGCTGAAACTCCGCATTCTGAAATTTCATTCGATTATGGTTCGAACGGTGTATGCCACGTCCCTTCACTCCGACATCACTAATTCACTTTTTTTCTAAACACTTTTCTAGTACAATATCAAAGTTTTTCGCTCGCTACCGGCGTAATTTGACTCCAAAGAAGCTGAAACTCCGCATTCTGAAATTTCATTCGATTATGGTTCGAACGGTGTATGCCACGTCCCTTCACTCCGACATCGCTAATTCACTTTTTTCTAAACACTTTTCTAGTACAATATCAAAGTTTTTCGCTCGCTACCGGCGTAATTTGACTCCAAAGAAGCTGAAACTCCGCATTCTGAAATTTCATTCGATTATGGTTCGAACGGTGTATGCCACGTCCCTTCACTCCGACATCGCTAATTCACTTTTTTTCTAAACACTTTTCTAGTACAATATCAAAGTTTTTCGCTCGCTACCGGCGTAATTTGACTCCAAAGAAGCTGAAACTCCGCATTCTGAAATTTCATTCGATTATGGTTCGAACGGTGTATGCCACGTCCCTTCACTCCGACATCGCTAATTCACTTTTTTTCTAAACACTTTTCTAGTACAATATCAAAGTTTTTCGCTCGCTACCGGCGTAATTTGACTCCAAAGAAGCTGAAACTCCGCATTCTGAAATTTCATTCGATTATGGTTCGAACGGTGTATGCCACGTCCCTTCACTCCGACATCGCTAATTCACTTTTTTTCTAAACACTTTTCTAGTACAATATCAAAGTTTTTCGCTCGCTACCGGCGTAATTTGACTCCAAAGAAGCTGAAACTCCGCATTCTGAAATTTCATTCGATTATGGTTCGAACGGTGTATGCCACGTCCCTTCACTCCGACATCGCTAATTCACTTTTTTTCTAAACACTTTTCTAGTACAATATCAAAGTTTTTCGCTCGCTACCGGCGTAATTTGACTCCAAAGAAGCTGAAACTCCGCATTCTGAAATTTCATTCGATTATGGTTCGAACGGTGTATGCCACGTCCCTTCACTCCGACATCGCTAATTCACTTTTTTTCTAAACACTTTTCTAGTACAATATCAAAGTTTTTCGCTCGCTACCGGCGTAATTTGACTCCAAAAAAGCTGAAACTCCGCATTCTGAAATTTCATTCGATTATGGTTCGAACGGTGTATGCCACGTCCCTTCACTCCGACATCGCTAATTCACTTTTTTTCTAAACACTTTTCTAGTACAATATCAAAGTTTTTCGCTCGCTACCGGCGTAATTTGACTCCAAAAAAGCTGAAACTCCGCATTCTGAAATTTCATTCGATTATGGTTCGAACGGTGTATGCCACGTCCCTTCACTCCGACATCGCTAATTCACTTTTTTTCTAAACACTTTTCTAGTACAATATCAAAGTTTTTCGCTCGCTACCGGCGTAATTTGACTCCAAAAAAGCTGAAACTCCGCATTCTGAAATTTCATTCGATTATGGTTCGAACGGTGTATGCCACGTCCCTTCACTCCGACATCGCTAATTCACTTTTTTCTAAACACTTTTCTAGTACAATATCAAAGTTTTTCGCTCGCTACCGGCGTAATTTGACTCCAAAAAAGCTGAAACTCCGCATTCTGAAATTTCATTCGATTATGGTTCGAACGGTGTATGCCACGTCCCTTCACTCCGACATCGCTAATTCACTTTTTTCTAAACACTTTTCTAGTACAATATCAAAGTTTTTCGCT